GTAAAAAGATGTCTGTATTCAAACTCGTGGCTTACTTATGATATAGCCTGTATAAACTTTTTATTTCTCAAGCAACTATGATTTTATCATTCAAATTCGTTAATCATTTCATCTCATACCATTTGAAATTCATTCATAAATTCACAACATTGCAAACACTAGTTAAATGTTAATATAAACTCACTTTTTTATTCGAAGAACCAAAATAATCAGCAAGATTTATACTTATGTTTCATAAATACAAATGATAAGAAATGTGGGAGACTACCTTCCAATTACCTTTGCCATGGTTTGATGATGCTGTGGGAAAATTATTTTAGAAATTTGATCACTCACGCATCTATAAATGACTTAAACAACCACATAAATATTTCTTTTCCTTCAAATAGAAAAGCACACCCAAACATAACATTCCGCCATTAATTATTTACTCCCACAAATGATATACGTATTAAATTGTATTTATTTGTGCATTAAGTGATGTCAAATATATCTCGTAGTCTTTGTTTGGTAGGCTAGAAAACCGAAAGAAGGAGCAAAAGAGAAAGAAAAGAAGGCTAAATACATTCTCTTTTCTCATTTGATTATGAAAAAAAAAACACATAGGAAATATAAAAATGTGAGTAGGTCCTAAAATTGCGAGTTTTTCCCCAAAATGAGATGAAGAAACAAGTATAAAATATCATTATTTGTGTAATTTTCATATTGTTTTATACTAAACATCCTATAAAATCACTTCATTTTCCTTTCTCTTCTTTCCTATTTCCTTTTTTTTTCCCATTATTTTCTTTTACTTTCTTCCCTGAACCGAACGCACACAAAATCTCTCGCTCGCAATCAATTCTTAATTTTCCCCATTTCTCCTAAGTGAAAAAGTATGAGTCTACCTTCTTGATCAATTTATCCTTTGTAGAAAAACTTAGGATATTGTTTTACTAAAGCTTGAAAGCTTTATTAGAGTTTGAGAAAATATATTGAAAATTGGAAGACAGGATCATGTCTTCAGCAGAAAAGAAAAAAAAAAGAAAAAAGAAAAAGAAAACATAGGATCTTGTTGCCACGTACAGCGGGGATGCAATTCTTATGATTAAATACAACTTTTTTTTTTTATGCACATAGTGATTTGTAGTAACTAGTATGCAATTTTCCATGCTCATGCACGAAGCAGGGAATCATTGAGCACTCCATGCATATACAACTCTTTTAAATAAACGGAGCAACCAAAGTAAAAAAATACAACAATTTTCTTTTTCTTCCCAAAAGCCAACCAAACTGTAAGTGGCTAGTCTGGTCATGAGTTCATTAGTTTAGTCCAAGCAGTACTGAAATTTATTATGATAAACTTATCTGAAAAAATACTTATAGAAAAATAATATATTTTTTTCATAAGTTAAAATTTATAACCTAATTTGTAAAAAAAAATCATATTAATTTCTTTCAATTTTAACTAATAGAAAATATTGTTTTATTTTTTCTTTCTATTTTATTTTATATATCTTTGATATTTTTTATCCAAATAGATCTCATAAAATGACACAATTTCAATTAAAACAATAAAAACATAAAGTACATTATCAAATAGTTGATAGAGAATAATCATATAAAAATAGTTGATAGAAAATAAAAACGAGTTGTTGAAAAAATAAAAAATAGATTTGTTTTTGAAATAGGAAAGATCACGAACTACTTTTAAAAATACAAATTGTACTTGACACATAAGTCAACAATATCATCCCAAGTATGAATGATCTTAAATCAAAATTGTTTGACTTCTTTATGTGACTTAAAAACAAAAGAAAACATGTTAATAATAATTCAAATATTAATAATAAATTCAATTGAATAATATTAACATTTAAAAGATGACTACTTTATCATATTCATTCCATACTTTTTTATTTTCAATCATAATCATGTACTTTGTGCTATCCCAGTCAAATTCACTTTAACTAAGAATGTCACTAACAATTTCATACCATGTTTTCTAGAGTTTAAAATGGTTCTTGATATTATCTCTTACTAAATGAATTTAAAACGCTTAGACAAAACTTGAAATGTAGTATTGTATGTCATTGCTTTCTAATTTCCATCACTTTTATTATCCCAACTTTTTTGGTCTTTAACCACACCAGCTAAATCATGTTTCATTTCCAAATTTCATGAGAAGTAACTTCTTGCATCCTCTTTCTTATCATGAGTTGTCATTTTTCTTTTTTCTATTGACTTGCTCTTAACATTGCTTAACTTCATTTCTCTTTAAACAATCTTATAGTTTTCGCATGTGTCATAAAAATTCAGTGCATTCAATTATCATCCCAATTCAAGCAAATCAAAATCTCAATAGTAGAACATTTTCAAACATGAAACTATAATTATGACAGAACAACTAATCTCTTGAATCATAAAAAATTAATATAGTTATAAGCAATTTCAAAGCTCACTAGCAAAAACTTGTATGAACTTCTTCCATTTATTTTGCCACAATTTATAAGGTATTGACTAGTTATTTAATTATACAATAGAAACTATTTTTTGTTTTCAAAACAACATCAGTTTTCATCAGACACAATCATCCAAAATAACAAGTCAAATGCCACTTTAGTACAATAACTTCAAGTTGTAAAGGCACCAAATTCATACAAATGAAAGTTAAATTACCAAACAGATGAACACAAAAAACACTAGATCATAGAATAAATCATATATGAGAAGAAATATAGAGAGAAATCAAAGATAAACAATAAATAAAATGCACATAAAAAATCTTAGATATGGAAGATATAAAAAAAAAATTATAACAAAAATGCATAGACAAATTAGAGATAAACAAATTAGAGATTGAATAAGAAAAATGTGAGAAAGAGCTTGAGCGAGAGAGAAATTGAACAAGAGAGAGCTTGAGCAAGCAGAGGTTGAACCAAAGAGAGATTAAGCAGGAGATAGATCGAATTAGAAAGAGTTTGAGTGGGAGAGAGGCATGACACAAGCCAATGACGAAGTGAGAGTTCACTGAGCACTAAACGAGAAGAGTAGAAAACAAGTAAGAAATTTTGAAATTCTTTTGTTTTAGGTGAAAATTGAAATTTCATGTCTTTAGTTAATTAAAATTCTAATATGAAATTCTAAAATTTTAAATTCCTTTCTAATAAAATATCTAAACAATGAATTTTATGATAAAAAATTTAAAAATCTTATTTAAATTACATTTCTCATTTAAAATTCTTTACCCAAATATACCATTCTTTAGCAATTTCATTTGCTAATTTTTTTTAGTAGTTCTCAATTTTCTTTTATATTCTGTCTATATTTAGAGTGAAATAAAGATAGAAGAAATAAAATGATAAAAATAGTGAAAAGTATTAATATATTATTTAAATGGATAAAAATAAGAAGAAGGAAAAAATGAATTCTTCTTCGTTTGTTTGGATTTGTGAAAGAAGGAAAAAAAATATATATGAATTTTTTTGTATGTTGATTTAAAAGGTGATTTTCAATCTATGATTTTTTTCTTAATAAAAATTAGTTATTATTTAAAAAAAAAATCATATTAAAAAGTTAGAAATCAAACAACAAAATCCAATTTGAAAAAAAAAAGATTTTATAATGAATCACAGGACAATAAGTTTACTTCTTACTTTTCAAAAATACTTAAAATTTAATATTTTTATTATATATTTATTTTTCATATTCTATTTTTATATATCTTCACACAAAAAGAAAATCAAAAGTTAGAGCATCTCCACCATTGAACTATCTAAGAGCTCATTAAAAATAAGCAATCGTGTCTTATAAAAACTTAACATTAGAGCAGGTTTACATGACAAATGAAATTCTTTAAACTTAACCGCCGTATCTTACATTAATAGACACATGTGCTTATAAATTAAAATATAATTTATTTACGTCAACAAAGAATAACAACTTCAAATTTAGACGCTCCCCATCAATTATGAAAAGCATTGAGGGTATAGTTGCCCTCACAAGTTTTTCACGTATTCTTAATATAATGTGTATAAACTGTCCCATAATTTAAAATATAGTTTGAAAAATCACTTATAATATAAAACATGGCTCCTCTAATTTAAAATATAGTTAAAAAAATAGTTATAACATAAACATTGCTCCACTAATTTAAATATGTAAATGTTACTCTCAATTTAAAAAATTTCGATCCGTCAGTGCTCATTGCTCATAGCTTTGTGGCTTGTAATTATTCACTGCTATTGACTTTTTAATTCATTGCTACCAAAAGAAGTCTTGACACTGCTAATTTTTTGTTATGATCGTTAAAATATTATTTTATATGTTTATACAAAAAAAATATTTGTATCCATATTAAATTAATATTTAATTATAATAATAAAATTAATATTTTAAATTAAATATAAAAATATAAGTCATTTATAAGATCCTAGCGTGTAAGCAAAACATGTAAAAAATAGAAATAAATATGAGACTGTGGATCCATTTTAAAGTTTGAGAAAGAACTTGTAGTAGTTGCTTATAAGAAAGAAACATGGCAGTTGGTATGAGTAATGTAGAAATTTTGGAGGTGTCAGAAAGACATTGGTTGGAATGATAGCTGACGTGGTGGGCTAGGAGTGGGTACTAGTTTCTGGTTTGTGGAGGGGCACATGTGGATGAGAGAGAGAGAGAGAGAGAGAGAGTGTTTAACGGGTGCAGAGCAGAAGAAGATTCTATATGTTCATTTCTACTCGGCTTTTGCTCACTTTCCTAGCTCCTTCCTTGGCACATAGCAGCATTCCAGTGTTCAATTCAACACAACCGAGTGAGAGTAAATCCACAACGTGTAATTCCTAACTCTCACTTCCTAATATATATATATTATTCTCTACCCACATAGCTGCACCTATTAAAATCAAAACTCAGCAACTACTACTAATCCATAGTTTTAATTCACTTTACCACTCTCTCTCTCTCTCTCTGCACACAACTCAAGTCTCAAACCAGGCTAGACACGCTCACAGGTATGCTTTCTATGTACACTTCGTAGGTTTCAACTTCCCTTGTGAGCAATGCCTCAGGACCAGCACGCTTTTTTTTTCCTGTCTCATGTGTTGGATGATTCACCTCAAACACCTAAATCATAGTTTTTTGTTTCAATTTATATTTTCAACATAGGATTCCTGTTTTCCAACCGACCTCTTTACCATTCAATTTCGTGGGGTTTCTGTTGCCACTGTTTTTTTGTCTTTTTATTAGTGAAGAAACCCAAAATGGAAAAAAAAATATATATATATATATATTTTTTTTTTTTTTACGGTTAAGACTCTTTTCTTATCTGTTATTTGAGATGAACTTGGAAACTATGACTTTCCTATGAGGTTGACGATTTGCGAGTTTGGCAGCCGAAGGGGTTGAATTTTTTGGCATGTATGATTCAATCCTTTGTTTTTCTTCCCTCTAGTGTCAGCGCTGGTCGTTGCTTGTGCATTTATTCTTCTTTCGTTATTTTATCGCTCAGTCAAATGCTTTCTATTTTCCCTTCTCTATCATTTCTGTCTCTGTTTCCGCAATCTTAAACTACGCGTTACTGCTAGCGTATCGGATCAAAAGTTCTTTTTCTTGGGAACATGACCCGAGTAATAATATACACGTTTTCATTTTTCTGTTTTACTCCTCCATTTTTACTTTTTTTGTTCTCTGCATTTTGGTTACCTTGTTAATATCAGAAATTCTTCCATTTACTGTTTGAAGTCTCAGTTGGGAAATTTAACTGGTTAGTAGTGGATGATAATCTAAGCCGTATTCGTGTCCATCTAATGTTTATTTAAGATCCTTAATTGATCATTCAGAATCTAAAATTAACACCACCTCTCTCTATCTAAAAAGATACTTCATTATGAGAGCGAGTTTGCATCTTATGAATCCAACAGAAGGTGGATCAAATGTTTTTAATCATGTTTTCTTACATTAGATGGATTCATTTGACGAAGAATCTTCGCAGTAGCCCGGATTTGTTTTCCCCTTCCATAGATTTTTGAAGTTTGAATTTACTTTTCTTTAGCTCATCTTCATTATTTAGATCTTCATGTATCAACCTGTTTGAATCCAATTTTTTTGTTTTGTTAAATCACCGTTAAGTTTTCTTAATAGTTTTATCTTATTATGCAGGTTGTGTTTCTTCAAAACATCTGTGAACGGTTGTTGGCAGATAATTATTGCGTCTACCAGCTCATAAAAACAGTGACTATGAGTAATCTGCAAAATTTTACTGCATGACCATCAAGTGTTCGTAAGAACCTTCACAATCAGAAGATCGACAAATTTTGTTATTCTCGTTAATATTTCTTGGAGAAGGGAATAGTTCTTTCTAGATGCAAACGTCTCAGAAACACCCAAGTTCAGCTGGTGTCCATTTCTATCACCAGCCTGTGCAAGGCATTTACCAAATGTTGCAAAGCAATCTGTGCCATGATAGCAGCAGCCAGGGAACAACTAGCGTTTCTTTTGAAACCTGCAAGGAGCAATACTTTACTCTGGAATCATGCCCTGCACCCACTGCTTTCATGGATTGTGATGATTCTCCTTCCTATGCCAGTGTATCATCCAAGAGGACTCCATTTTCTCCACAAGGTTCTCAGTCATGTTATTCAGACCACCACCAGTCGTCCGACAATGCCTATGGATCCCCGATAAGCGGCTTGTCTAGTGTTGATGACGGGCATGGACTGAAGCACAAACTTAGAGAACTGGAAATTTCATTGTTGGGGCTAGATGAATCTGACATCGTAGACAGTTGTGGCTGCTGCATGGCCAAGGTTGGCCTTCAAGGAGCATCTCAGTTGGCTAAACATGACTGGGATCAGATTGTGGAAAATATTCCCCAACTTGACTTGAAAGGAGTCCTCAAGGTATGTGCACAGGCAGTGTCTGATGATGATATTCCAATAGCAAGAGGCTGGATGGACAATGTATTAGGGAGAATGGTATCAGTTTCTGGAGATCCAATCCAGAGGCTAGGTGCTTACTTGTTGGAAGGGCTTAGAGCAAGGTTGGAATCATCAGGGAATCTGATCTACAAATCCTTGAAGTGTGAACAACCAACAAGCCAAGAACTAATGAGTTACATGCACATCCTGTACCAGATTTGCCCGTACTGGAAGTTTGCATACATATCTGCAAATGCTGTCATTGAAGAAGCAATGGCAAATGAATCCAGGATCCATATAATTGATTTCCAAATTGCTCAGGGCACTCAGTGGTATTTACTTATACAAGCTCTTGCACATAGGCCTGGAGGACCCCCTTCTCTTCGTGTAACTGGTGTTGATGATTCACAATCGATTCACGCTCGGGGTGGAGGACTTCAGATTGTTGGAGAAAGACTAACAGATTATGCCAGGTCTTGTGGAGTTCCATTTGAATTCCACAGCGCTGCAATATCTGGCTGTGACGTTGTGAGAGGAAATATTGAAATTCGACATGGGGAAGCTCTGGCTGTAAACTTTCCTTATGTTTTGCATCACATGCCAGATGAGAGTGTGAGCACTGAGAATCACAGAGATAGATTGCTGAGGTTGGTTAAGAGCTTGTCTCCCAAGGTTGTTACCCTTGTTGAGCAAGAATCCAACACCAACACTTCCCCTTTCTTTCACAGGTTTGTTGAAACCCTCGATTATTATACTGCTATGTTTGAATCCATAGATGTGGCTTGCCCCAGAGATGATAAGAAGCGGATTAGCGCAGAGCAGCACTGTGTGGCACGAGACATTGTCAACATGATAGCTTGTGAGGGAGTAGAGAGGGTGGAGAGGCATGAACTTTTGGGAAAGTGGAGATTGAGACTTTCCATGGCTGGATTTAAACAGTGTGCATTTAGTTCTTCAGTGATGGCTGCTACACAAAATCTCCTAAAGGACTTCAATCAAAATTATAGGCTTGAACATAAAGATGGTGCTCTTTATCTTGGCTGGATGCACAGACATATGGCCACCTCTTCTGCTTGGAGGTGAAACTGACCAATTCATGCTTTGGCATCCTTTTTGACCTTTAATAGTTTACCATATATCCTTAGGACTTGAGATTTACCTATGTTCTATACTGCATTCTGCAGAATCTCAAAGCACGTTGTAAATGTCAATACTGAAATTAAAGAAAAACAGACGTCTGTTGTGACTTATTTTCCTCCCTTCGTTCGCGGGGTTTAGTGTTATTTAACTAATGTGAGATGAGCAATATATTCATCCTGTTTCCTCGTTTTTTTCCTTGTAATGACTACTGAAATGAGAAATCCCCTACTACTGATGTACATGAAGGTTTGGTCTACTACTCTAGTGACTTTACTATCTCCAAATTTATAGTAGTTTCCTAATTTGAGTCAAAATACATCATTCTACGCGTGTATAACTTTACTTCTCTTAAATTTATTTGCTTTGTAGAAATAACATATTCCTGAATGTATATTGTATATCTTGTGAGTTCTCTCAAGAATGTTCTAAAAATTTCACATCACTATACCTAATGAATGGATGTTTACATTTCAATATTGATTCAAGTGATAAAACCTTACACCCTAAGTCCTAAACTCAATATTGATTCAAGGGCTTAGGGTTTAGTTTAATCTCAAGATATAGCTAACTCATGTATAATTAGACCTTGCTGAAAAAAGATATAAGTAATAAATAGGCTTAAATTTATGATAAGTATTTGTGATAAGATATAGTTTCATTATCCATATGAAAACTAGCTGAAATGCAATAAGTGGAGGAGGATAAAGGAAGAGTCTTGGAAGCAAAGGGATAGTCGGAAACAGAGATATAGGCGCTGCAATTTCCATTTGAGAGCACAAATTAAAAATAAATACACAGCTAAAGTACTACTCCTACTACTTTTACAATTTCTTGATAGAAAATAATACTCGTATTTATAACCAATGACTTTTAAAATACTGTAAAAAAAATATTAAACTTAACTTTTAGATGTCAATTACATATATGAATTCCATAAAGTAATTTCTAGAAGAAGAGACAAAAGAGAAGGGTTATTTGAAAAAGAAAAAAAAAAGGATAAAAAATATGCTTAAAAAGGGAAAATGGGAATATATTTAATAAATAGGGAGTATAAATAGAAGAAAAAAAAAGGCTTTTTTTTAGTTAACCAACTTGGCTCATTAGTAGGCCAACCCACTTTGTGGGCTTCTTAGTCCACTTTATAGACTTCCTGACTCACTTTTATTATTTTAATAAATAACTAAAGAATATAAATTAACAAAAAAATTGATAAAAACTCACCCTCAAGAAAATGTGAGACCATATTATAAATTACACTATCAATTTAATTAGTCAATTTTAATTAAAAATAATTATTTAGTTAAAGTTAACTAGTCAATCTAATTAATTATAATCAATTTTTAAAAATAAAATGTTAACTATTTTTCGGTACAGGTTTAAAATGTTAACTATGATTTAGTTGAAAAATTAATCCATAAATAATTATATAAATGAAACATATTGTAATTGAGTTAAACCTGAAAATAAAAATGACACGACAAAAACTGTGATCTTTAACAGAAAAGACAAAATTCAAAACAAATCCAATAATTTATAATTATAATCAATTAATTTTTTTATGTTTAATTATAATCAATTAATTTTTTATGTTTAATTATAATCAATTAATTAAATTGGAAAATTATTAATAACTATTTAAATAATTAATTAAAATATTATTTAATTATTAACATAATTTTCTTTAAAAAAATAATTAAAATAATAATAATAATTAATAAAATTAAAATCTAAAGTGATCAATTTTCAAAATCCCACATCATCTATCTTAATTTTTCAGATGTAATTTATATATTTATTAAACAATTTCATTTAATGTCAATTAATTTTAAGATGAAGTTTAAAATTATATCAAATCCTATAATTCATCTCTTTTTATTTGCTTATTTTGAAAAACAATCATTACATGATTCCACAACTTATTCCATTCTCAAGAGGTGAAATTTTATGTGTTCAATTATCTCCAATACATCCTTATTTTCCTCCGACAAATATGAAATCATTTCAAAAAAAAAATTAAAAAAAATATTGTTAGCCATTTCTGCCCACACTACACTCCAATAACCCACCAAATTGAAAGAAATTCAACCCAACATCCTCATGGAAAACTGTGCATATATATCTCACCATTTTGAAATTTCAGACTGTTGCCATTACTGCTAAATAAAATATGATTAATGTCTTTTATTTTCTCACCATATTATTTGCACGATAATTCATTTGCAATCATTATCTTTAAGAATAGATTATTTGATGACTTTATACGATTTGAATAAACTTCACAAAATTATATAGAAAATGAACTCCTAAAATTTTATTGAAATACAATTATCGTCTCTAATATATCGGAGAACGGCTGTAGTTAATTTATTAACATCATCTTAAAGAATATTTTATATTGCATAATAAATATTTTGAAAACTTTAAAATAATATAATTTAATTATATCTTATAAATATATTATTTTAATTTGTTATATTTAGGGTGTGTCTTCAAAAACGCGGTTCTTCATTTTTATGTATGTTTAAATTTTTTATCTTCACATAATTCTACTAACAAAAATTAATTTTGGTCAAAGTTAAATAAAGATTGCTTTTACTTTCTTAAAAAAATTGATTTTAGTAAGTGGGTGTTTAATTTTCCTCATTTACTCTCACGAAATTTTAATGTTTACTTCAAATACCCTCATCTAATTCATAAATGCTCTGATTCATCTCATCTAATTTGATTTTTTTTATCAATGTTCTTATTGATCTTTGTTTGGATTTAAGATTTTGTCGTAGAAAATTTTTCTCATCAATTTTTGTTTTATCGATTTAGCTTCTTTCATCCTTACGTGTGTATATGTTGTCCTTATTTTGAACCTAAAATTTTATTGGACATCTATTTTTTACTTTAATAGTAACCAACAACTTATCCAAGTTAATAATATACATATCAATATATAATTAAAAAATGATACATTACAATACAAAAAGAAACATCAACAATTAGCTAAGATCCATTTTGGTCATTACACACTTAAAATCAATTTTGATAACAATTTCTCAAACATCATTCAATATGAAAATCAATTTTCTAATAAATGCATTCAAACAAAAATTATGTTACTTTAAAACCACATTTACTTAAAATCAATTCGGTAAAATCATGTTAATATCAAATTAATTCTTCAAACACAAATCTAAACACACACTTAATCTTTGTCTTAATGAAATTAAGATTTATTGTAATTAATATTGACATATATTATCTTTATTTAGATTAAGTTCAATTTTCACAAGTTTTTTCCTTCATTTTTCAATTGAGTTATGTTAATTTTACTTTTAATTCACATATTTTATCTCAAGGTTGTGTTTGTTACGTGGAATATTTTTATTTTTGTTTAGTAAGTTTTTTTTTTTTTTGAGGTGTTTTGTTTAGTAAGTTAAAAATATTAGTTTTTCATGTTTATTTATCATTTATGAAAAAATAAGATTTATAGGAAACATAGTTTTCAATAATGTTTTTATATAAGTTTCTCACTAAATTATTCTCATGAAAGTATCTGAGAATCTAGTAAAAAAATTTGATTTTCATGTAACATTTGTAAACAGTCATAAAATTATTTAGTATCAATAAACAAATTTAATCATTACCGAAAATATAATTTCCAATAATCATGATTAATAGGTATGAGAAAAGATTTCTTCTACCAAACATCACATAAATGTTATTTTAATTTTTCTAATTTTGGTAGCTCATATTAATTCACCTAAACTTTAAATTGATTTAAATTAAAATTCTTGCCATAAAAATCCAATTAATAATTAACATATATATATATATATATTTTTAAAGTATCGGTAACATTAATTTACGTACAGCGACAAAGAAAAAATATATAAAATCTATACAATGTTATGAAAACCGGTTTTTCTTTACATATATTTTATAATCTGAAAAATTAATGACATATCATATTTTTTGTATTATTGATTAAATTTTATTTAAAAAAATTAATTTCCATATTAAGCTTATTATACAAGTGTAAAATTAGAAAATTAAAAAAAAAAACTATAATATTCTATAATTTTTATAAAAAAAAATAAAGGAAGTGTACTTATTAAAAAAAAAAAAAGAGGTGTATATATAATGAACTTTAACAAAATGATATTTGACAAAAGCCTAAAATAAGTATAAAATAATTATATGGGCTCAACAAAAAATGCCGACCTGATGGCAGTAAAATAATGGGCCCAATTCGTAAATGTAGAAGAAAGAGTTGTTGCTGCTGTACATTTTTGAGCGCCATCTTCAGTTCACTCTTGACGTTATCCCCTTATCTTCCTTTCTTCGTACCACTCTCCCAATCCAAATGCTCCACACTCATCACCACCTCTTCTTCCCTTCACCACACTCCCATGCGTCACCATTTCCCTTTCCTTCTGCAACCAAAATCCTTCGCTCTCCAACATTTCCTGCTACTTCCATCAGAAGAGTTTCTTCCGCTCTCAGGTTCCGCAACCGTGGCCGCACCGTCACAAACTCCGCGCCCAATGGAGGCGTGAGCGAAACGGAGAATAAGAAACAACCGGTCTATAGGGCGTACCCTTTCCACGAAATCGAGCCCAAGTGGCAGCGTTTTTGGGAGCACAATCGCACGTTCCGAACCCCCGATGACGATATCGACACTACGAAACCTAAATACTATGTTCTTGACATGTTTCCTTACCCTAGGTTCTGAATTTTAGTTACTTAGCTCTTGCAGTTTCTGATTTTTCTAAATTGCGACGAGAATATTCATAACAACTATTTTTTTTTTTGCAGTGGAGCTGGACTTCATGTTGGTCATCCTCTGGGATATACTGCCACAGACATTCTAGCTAGGTATAAACGTATGCAGGGATATAATGTGTTACATCCAATGGGGTGGGATGCTTTTGGATTGCCAGCAGAACAGTATGCTATTGAGGTCTGTTTTTTGGTTCTCAAGTCTAAGTTCTAACCCCTGACTTGTTGTGTGTATATTACTCCCTCCCTCCGTCCCATAACAAACAAAAGTCTTAAAAAGGCTTAAATATATATTTAGTCCATCTAGTTTAGGATAAATTTATTTTTTATCCTTCAAATTTAAAATTATTATATTTAGTCTATGTAATTTTGAAAAATCTTTTTTAGTTCCTCGGATCACTAATAACATATTTGAAACTGATAGATTGATAGATTGAGACATCAACTTGGTTTTTTAATGTGATGTTTTCACTAACAAGATATCAATAGATAAATTTTATGCAATAATATTTGATAGATTCTCTAACTAAATTTGAGGGATAAATTTGAGATACTAAAACATTTTTAAGTCTAAGCATAATAAGTATCATGTTCAATGTAATATTAATTACATATATTTTTGTTTTCATTTATACTTCCTTGTGATATTCTTTAGAAGGTGATTATTATATTGCATAATTTCTAGAAAAGAAGATTAATCATAAAGATAATTTTGTAAAATCACATTTTTTTTTCTCACTTATTTATTAGTTTTTCTTAGTATGTGTAAAACAAGCTAAAACAACACTTATTCCGAGAGAGTTTCATTTACAGATTCTGTTGAAATTTCCATTTATTGGGGTTTATTAATATTCTGCCATGTGTTTCAGACAGGAACTCACCCAAAGCTCACGACCTTGAGGAATATCGATGGAGGGTGGCGGCCGCCGGCGACGCCAAGAGGGTCGACGAAGCTGTGCCCATCCGATTCGGGGGGCAAGGTATTCCAGTTCAAGAGGGACAAGCTGGCGTTCTACGACAAGGAATGTTCTCGCATCGCGGAGCACGTGTACCTCGGCAGCGACACGGTGGCGAAGAGCCAGGAGCTTCTGCGGCGGCACGGGATCACGCACGTGCTGAATTGCGTGGGGTTCGTGTGCCCCGAGTATTTTAAAACGGACTTCGTGTACAAAACCCTCTGGCTCCAGGACAGCCCCTCCGAGGACATCACCAGCATTCTCTACGACGTCTTCGATTACTTCGAGGATGTCCGGCAGCAGGGTGGCCGCGTCCTCGTACACTGCTGCCAGGGCGTGTCGCGATCCACTTCCCTTGTCATCGCCTATCTCATGTGGAGGGAAGGCCAAAGCTTCGAGGACGCCTTTCACTACGTCAAAAACGCGCGTGGCGTCACCAACCCTAACATGGGTTTCGCCTGCCAGCTCTTGCAGTGTCATGTGTGTGTGAAATTTTATTTAATAATAAATTATTAAAATTAATATAAACATTTATCATTAATATTTTTCAAATAAATTCAATTAAGCATTTTTTTTCATTATTTGTGTATTAGTTAATCATTTATTATAAATTTTTGTTTCTATACTAAATTAATTAAGTTTTTTGTTTATTATTTTTTTATATAATTGTTTTTTTAATTATATAGTTGAGTAATTATTGATTGGTTTGAGTTGACTCTCATGTCTATCACATATAAGATAGTCTGTCCTTTAAATTAAAGTTGTAATGTTTAAAAGTGTGGAATTATTGAAACCAAGTGGTATCAAGTGTTTGTCCTTTAAATGCATTAAGATGTCAAATTCTTAATAATAATTTTCTACTAATAATTAATCCTGAAATTGGCGTAAAAAAAACTAATCATGAAATTAGTATTAAGAATTTGACATTCTTAATGAAAATTTTGAATTATACTAGCTAATTAGATCGATTATGGCCATACAATCAATATATTAATACTCAAGTGTTTTCACTAAATGTGTACAAACAATTTTCTTAGTTTTTTTAAAATTGATTTCCACACATGTATCTATCTATACACCTATCGAACTAAAATATTTTCACTAATTTGGTTATATGATATTTTCAAAATTTGGTTAAATTGTTTCAATTTTTTACTTCGTTTTCTTTGATTAACTTTTCATTTAAATATATTTATTGACTTCTCATATTTCCAAACATGGATTTTAATTGTTATTTTCCCTTTTAAATAAATAGAATTTAAAAGTACATTACAATTTACGATCGTTAAATTAAAATTACTATTTATTATATATGTCAATCCTAAACTGAGAAAAAAGTATTGATATAATATTAATTGTGGTTTTTTTACTCATTTGGAAATTGTATCATCTTTTAATCTTTCACATTTAATGATTGAAATTCTATTTTATTATTTTATCATGTTATAAATATTTTATTGGTTAGAAAGTTAACAAAAACATAATAATAAAATTCTTTCCCTGAAATTCTCGCATGTCATTTTTTAATTTTGAATTTTTTAAACACTCTTTAAATTAAATTAATTCATTAATGATTCAAAAAATAATAATGAATAAAAAAAATTGCTTTATTTAATTTTCTTTCATTTATATGTTTGTTGACTTTTCACGTATCCAAACTTTACATATCCATCAATTCCATTGACTATATATAAAAATAAAATAAAATAAAATAAAAATTAAACTTTAAAATATTTATAATTACAAATATAATCTACGGTGCGAGTATCTCAAAGATACGAAAACTAGGAGAGTGTATAGATCACTCTCGCATAAAATGGAAGAAAATAAACGATATAGAAAAACATTGATTCCAAATAATTTTATTTATATATAGCAAAAGTGTTTATGTTTTAATTTGATGGCTATTAATTTTCAGTTTTTAAGCTCTCCTGCATACATTGCTTTGGCTCTTCAGTTATCGAATCTGCAGTGACAGGTAAAATGTCTTGTACACCAATATTCAACTCATTCTTCTTTCACAAACATCCAATATTAATTATTAGCCTCTAATTACTTCTTTTTCTTATGTCTTAATGACGATATTTTATTGTCTAAACTCATGGAATCAGGTATTCTTAATTTGTGATTATTGTTCATCTAAATACCTTAAGAAATATGAAGAAAATTAATTGTAGCTGAATTTTTGTGTTTGATTGCGATTGACTGAGGCAGATTGTTGATAAATAGCGAATGGTTACATTTTGATGTGGCCGGTGATTAGGGAGAGAAATGAGAAATGAAATGACGAATAGCATTGTGAGAGATCTGAAAATGTGAAAAGATGAATAGGTGTTATTGTTATTTAAAAGGATAAAAAATAGTTTGTTTGATTTAAGAAAAATGGAGCGAGAGGAAGAGAGGGAACGGCGTCGTGTGCGTGACAGGCAGAGGAGACAATCAATGACGAAAGAACAAAGGGAACGACACCTCGCTCGACGCCGTAGAAACTACCAGCTTCGGAGACAGAGAGCTGCCAATGCTCCATTCATGTCTCTCCCTCAAATTCAATCTTCAAACACGCCCCCTTCTACCTCCTCACACCTTCATCCATCGTCCCAAGGTTCTCCCCTTTCTTTTTTCTTTTCTTTTTTATTTTTTCTTTTAATGCAATCATCATCAATCATCCACAAACAGGTTCCTCAATTCAGTTCGAAGGTTTTCCAACAAGCTTGCGTTTAAACATTATTAAACGCCTTGCACGAAACCTAGCAACTACCACCACTGTGCCACCTGCCACTCACCAAGTCGCAACAAATGCTCATGGTAACTCATTCGGATACAGACCACTGTCTTAAACCATTTTTTTTTTATTTTGTTTCTTTCTTTTGGGTGAAAATAGGTTGTTGTTGTTACTTTGACACGTTTTATTACAGGTACCACATCGAAACCCTTGCGATTGAATCGTGTCAAGCGTCTTGCTCGATCGTTAAGTTTTCCTTCGGAAAACACACAAGTTCAGAATAACCACAATGGTACAGGGGAAGGTACTAATTCTTTGTTCTTACTAGAATCGTTTTCACTATTTTATTATCTAAAATGCTATTCAATTTAGGTATTGTAGAACAGAATAGGACACACTAAAATATAATCAGCACAAAATAGTATTCAAACAGGATTAACATCCTCTGCAGTTTTTTTCTTTCAAACTGCCTCCAATTTTTTCTTATTGATTTTAAGAACTTAAAATGCTATTATTTTATTAGACAATATCCGTGTGTTAAAATTTTAACAACTCAAACAGAAACTAACATTATCAATTAGTTGCGTATTTACCTAATTCTCAACCTTTTCTTGTTTATTATGTTTAATCATTCTATGTGATACTCTCATGTCTATCACATTAAATCTATACTTTTATTGTTTTTTCACCGTGTAACATTCAATTTTATACAACATTATACGTCTTATGATTGTATAGTAGTTTTTTTAAGCTTAGATGATAATCTAATACTTGATCATACATTATTTTTTTTAACTCAATGGAAGCCATATATAAATCATTTTGGCTCATCTAAAATAAGTAGGAAACAATAAGAGTATATTTATTCTTAATTTAAAATGAATTAAGTTTTCCAGATACTTTAAATTAAGGGTCGTTATGCTTTAATTTTATTTTATTTTTTTTACTCTATACATTTGTTCATTTTCATAACTAGGTAGATTCGAGTATAATAAGATCCTTAACAATGTCGGTAATTTGTTTATATGAATAATAAGTTGATAAATTGTTTTGACCTACGATTCCTATATAACCAGTTCTCAATGGACATGAAATATTAGATCCTAAAATTTCACTAAAGCACACTAAGTTTTAAACTCATTCAAATGGACCACTTAATCAATTAATTTAATGCATCTCAAAATAAAATAAATTATTCTAAAATGATGTTAATGGATTATAATTTATTGTATTATCTTCGTAAGAGCGCACATTACCTGCCTTGAATGTAGCTAATTGTGGCTATATTTGATCGTGTCTCTTTTCTTTGCAGTGAATGGCGAAAGTTTAGAGGTGGTAACATCTTGAAAATCATTTGTAAGAAGTTAAAAGCAAGTGGGAAGAAGTTTTATTCAACCCATGTGTACTATTTCATACACACAGTAGGGAAAGCAAGCTATAACATTGTAGGAAATGATTTTATTTTTTTTTAGCATGATATTGGTGTGAAATATTCACATGACTAATTTCTATGAGCAGAAAACTTGGTTGATCTCCAATGTGAAACAAAGGAATTCATTACAAATGATATTGTAAGATTACAAATTGCTAGGCCTTTTTCTTTTTAATAAATTCAGAAACTCATGTTGAATTGACTTACCTCGACTCAAAGGCTATAAAAACTTTGCTTTGGGCCAAATTCATCTGGGTTGGGCCTTATTATGATCAAATTTGAAATATTAGGCCCCAAACTCGATAAGTTGATATGTAATCGTTTCTCTTGTAGTATCCGCTCTTTTTCAAGCTTTTCTAATAGATTTTTTTATTTAATAATTATTAGTATTATTGGTTTATATATTTTGTTTCTGAAATAATGTTTTAATAAATATATAAATACATTTTAAGTCTATATTTGTCTTGTTTTAGTTCTTATAAAAAAGCGTCAAGTTAGATTCTTAATTTTTTTTAGTATTTTTAGAATATTTTAAATTAAGATAATTATATATTTTTAAGGGCATTATTTAATTGTAATTAATACATTTATTATTTTTTCATTTTGTATTAATGTCATAAGACTTCGTCTTAAAGTAATTTGACTCTTAAGTAAAATTTAACTAGAAATTATTTCTGTTAAGGATTAAATGTAGATATTGTCTAAATAATTTAATTTTGAATTCAACACCTTAATCATTCATGTTCAACTTCTTGATTACATTCATTAATTTTATATTTTATATAAATAATATACTTATGAATTATTTGTTTTTAATTTTTAATGTACTATGATTATGTACAATGATTTTTATGGATTTTAATATTTTAACTTTTCAATTTATTAATTTACATTTATCTTTATACTTTTTTCCAAAAAAAATGTAATTTAATTAAAAGCTTATAATTTATTTTTAATATATTACTTTTGTCTTTCAAAAGCTTGTGATATATTTAAGATAAATCAATTATATTATTACAATGAGTCGTAACTAATGAAGTGAAATGTAAGAGTAATATTAAAAGTAATATATTAAAAATACATTCTAATATGAAAATTATAATATTTAAAAATTATAAATAAAAAATATGTTGAAAGTTTAAAAATAAGAGCTATATTAAAAGCAATATAAATCGCTGTTTATAATATATCAAAAAGTAAAACTAAAATATAAAAGTACTTTTCTTGAGTACCTAATTTATATTAAATTATGCACCTAAAATAATATAATTATAATAATTTAAATATTATTTACTGCTATAATTATTTTAAATTCTTTATTACGTTAGTCATGTAAACACTAACTAACTATAATTATTGGTAAGAACTTAAAAACACTAAAAATATATTAATGATATAAAAATAACCAAAAACAATAAATTGCAAAAATTAAAATGAGACAAAGTCATATTTTGTAGGAATTAAAAATATATATAAATCTTAATAAAACATAAATTTGAAAGAAGCATATTTATTTAAATTTAGAGAAAATTATAATATTATTTCTTCCGTAAAATAAATAACTATAAGTTATGATCGTTGTAAATGCTTTTCTTTGGTCACATCCCTCAAACTCAAACATCTAAAACCAGTACTTCAATTCAATCCCTGTTGTTGCTCATTGAAATAACGACAAAATTCGTGTAATGTTAGTCTTTTTCATAAACAATTCAATAATTTTTCTTTTTGTTGATCAGGCGCTGATAGGTAATATAGTGTATTGATATTTTTAATTCATTTCTTTTTATATTTATTTTATCTAATATATTTATATTTTTGTAAAAGTATATTAATATTTGTCAATTTAAATTTATAAATTTATTAATTTATCTATAAGTATATCAGTAATATTATTGATATTATTTTATCAATAATATTATAATACTGATAATATATATAAATTTTGTTTATTTAGTAACATAAAAATTATAATATATATAGCATAAATAAGTCAAAAGTTATATAATTTTAAATATTATAAATAGATATATATTATATGATTTTAAAACTATAAATTTTTTAATAAAAATAATTAAAATTATATAATTATAGTGTTTGAAGAACTAAAATTATTCATGAATTAAAATGTTGAGGGTTAAAATTACGTAACTAGAATATTTGAATGATCAAAATCGTAATTAAGCTTAATTTATTTTTAAAATGTCAATGATTAAAAATAATTTCATGTCATAATTTAAAATTTTCATTGTAAATTTGAAGTATTAGTTTTGAAATATATTTATTCATTGTGATTTTTAATTATAATCTGTATATTTAAAAAAATAGTGTAAATTTTAATTATATAAAAATACATATTTATGAGAAACTAAAATACTAGGTTATATTATAAAAAATAGATTAAATAGAAATTGAATTTCTTAAGTTTGAATAGTTAAAGAGAAAAAGTATTTTACGATGATATTTGTTAGAATGGGGGAAAAACTTAGGAGGATCCGTGTCAAGTGTCAACGGGAGCAGCGATTTTGTTGCGATGCGTTTATATCGGATGAAATTATGAAACTATGATGCGATGCAAGAGCGAGAGCTAAGCCAATTTCAGTTTTGGTTTTTTCCCAAATGCAATCATTAAACATCTAAAGAAGGATGAATATGGGGAACTTTAACTCTCTTTCCGCACTGACACTGTCATATAAACTCAAGAAAAAGAAGAAAAATAAAATAAAGATGGTGAAGAGGGAGAAACAAACACAAGAGGCTGCCTCTCCTCCTTGGTAACAAATCAAATATCTTGTGCTTTTTTTATGCTTCTCATCTCATTTCATTACTTTTTTGTCCTTAATCAATTTACATGTTGCATTCATCTGATCCAAGTTCTGACAATACAATAGCAGCAAAGGTGATTGTAGACGCATTCATAAGTCATAACACAGATATTCACAGGAATAAATAACAGATTATTGCATGAATTCATCACTTGGGCCATGAACATACCAAAATTGTTACTAATAAGGTCACTTTCACCATACCACATTCCCTCAATGTAGAATAAATCAAGCATAACCATGTCATATTAGTTTTTAAATCTAAAGAAATTTTAAACAAGTTCATGTATTTTGTAGGTATAATTTTAATATATGTAGGATATGTCTCTTAACAAAAATTATTACAAAAACTAAAAAAAATATTTTATATAATAAAGTATAATTATATAATAGTATGAATTATTTTACACTCTTATTTGAATATGAAATAGATTATATTAAAATAAATTATTTGTGTGCATTCATAGATTTTGACAAAAATTAGTTATTATTTTTAATGATGAATACTTCATATTTATACTATTGTTAAGAAAATCTCTAAATCAATTAAAAAAAAAGATAATTAAGCATATTATTAGAAAAAAATATTTAATCTCTATTAATTTTTCATGAATTCCCGACTTCCACTGTTTCATAAACATGACATATCTTATTTTAATATAATTTTTTAAATTACTCATTTCGAGGATTTTTTTTTTTAAAAAAAAACTTATCATGTCTATCTTAAAAAAAATTGAATTCTAAGAAAACTTTTACAAAAAAATACTATGGATAGCAATAAAAAAAATGGATAAAGAATTTAAAATATAGTTTATACGATAAAAATATTCATTTTTTACCATTTCTATTTATAATATACATTTTTTTATATTTTTAAAAAACTATTATAATTTTGATGAAATGAAATAAAAAAAAACATTTTGTGAATGTATAATAAATACTAATTTATTAGAAATAAGTGTATTAGCTAAAAAATGAAAGAAAAAAAATACTATCTTATAAAATTTACAAGAATAATATTAAAAAAACTTGAGCTTAATTACTCTCTTGGTCCCTCATTTTTTTAAATTATTCAATTTAATCTTTATTATTCAATTTAATCTCTATTATTAAAACTTTCAATTTAATCTCTTAACTTATTAAAATGATGCAATGTGGTTATTTTCGTTAAAACTAACAATACTAACTTCTTACACAAAAAATGACATATATCACTTCAGATATAAAAAGTTAATGATGAATATCATTAATCTCAATTTAAGAAAAAGGATCGCATTGTATGCATTATGTTGAAAAATGTTTCTCATTTCAATTTTGTGTTTCATTTATTTTTGTTTTACATTTTTCTACCGAAAATAAACTTATAAATTTTGTGTATTTTTTTTTATTAGGGTCACAATAAATGGGTTGTGATTATCCTTCAAGTCGAATAACTGAGGTACATTCATGTAAGTTAGGTTGAGTCATTTGGATGAATTAGACAATTTTTTTTATTCACTCAATTATAATTAAGATAATGAAGAAATTAAAAGATTTGTAATATGATAAATTTGACGTAAATTTAATAATAATGAAGATGTTAATTATCTAATATACACTAGAAACAACACATTAATTTATATACATACATATTAGGTAAAATTTATGTTAATTATATAATATCTATCCAATTCTATTACATAATGTAAGTCTTATGAATAAAAATATATATATATATTAAATAAAACTAGAGATATACTTAATAAATTACTTTAATAATTTAATATATATTCATTTTTGTTAATATTGTGTTTTATGGAACATATATAACAATTTGATAGAGTACTTCACTTTCTATAGTATGGCTACTACGTAGTGGAGAAATGCAACTAGCCTAAGGTTATCATGCAAATTGTTATATATATATAAGGTGGAAGATATAAGGCATAATATGCACACATATACAATAAACATACGAAATATACAAAAGTATATAAAAAAATCCTACTCAGTTAAGAGCATATACAAGACCTAGCAGCCAATAAAGGATATCACAAAGGAGTCATCTATTGCATGACTCGCCACCAACCATTATTACAAAGCCTTGCTAATTCTGACATGCTTCTATTCCAAAGTATGATCATAATAGTTCTAACCACAAGAAAAACACAGGATAAACTTGTGAAATAAAATAACATATGCAAGCACAATATCAATATCAACATGAACAACATAAACAACATCATTTTTAACATGCAACTTCAACTTATCACCAATACTACTCATGTAACTTACAACATAAAACAACTTTACAACTTCATCCCAACAACATAATCATCATACAAAAATATGCAACTAATGTGTTAGCACACATACCAATTAAGGAGATTTTTTACAATAGAAATGAGTAATTTAAGTAGCTAGACTCTACTAAGCCACACTATTTAACCTATTACAACCAGATTAAGTATAAACAATTTCAGGTCTCATAAAAATTACATTTGGGTTTATCTTCTTTAGGGTTCAAATGAGTATGGGATTGACTGGATTATCATTTGATTTTTTAAAGACATTAAATTTTCCTCCTCCACCACCACTGTCACCAACTTCAGCTTCAACACCTTCGCACCGCTCATAAACAATGTCATTAAATCAGGCGCAAAGTAACTAGGATGATCAAGAAGAGAAATCAAACAATAACTGTAGGGTTACACAATTTTAACTAGGTTATTTACATCAATACTAAATCTGGACCACACAATATGGGCTCTTGAACTTATCTAATTATCAATTTTTTTTGTTGGTTGGATGCAGTTTCCAATAAAAACTTATTTAAACCTGTTTTTTTTGCCTGCATAACCTGTTTATTTGTCTGAACCTATCCAAATTTTTTTTTTCAATCGGATTCTTCGGGTTTGGAACGGATTGGATTTTTCTACTCACCTGTATGATTCATCATATACTTTTTATTTATTTATTTTTGTATTTACTTCTCAGTCTAACCAACTATGTTTAAAGAAATCAATTTATTTTATTTCTTTTTAATTTTATTTAACAACTTTAAAATTATTTAAATTTTTATCTTCTTTATTTCTTTTTTCCACATATAAATTTTATCCAAACAAAGTATAACTGTCAAACAAAATAAAAGAGAAGAAACAATTTATAAGCTGTTAAATTATCTTTGCCAGCAGACATAATAATTACAAGATAATCAACAGGATAAGATAAAACGAAAAAAATGAAAATGGTGTTGTTATAATTATGATAAATTTGAAAGTTAACTAACTTTATTATCTGTTGCTTTTAGTGCATGTTTGGAAATAATCAAGAACGTACATTATAAATCTCTGTCCGCATTTAGTTGAAGCAACAAATGTTATTTAGTCGTAAGAGACGTGTTATCCAATAAACAGAAATGATTTATTTATTTATTTTGCTAAAACAGGGCAAACATTAAGTAACACATATAGATTCATGACGATTTTACGCTAAAACAGGACATACACTTAATACATTTCATTACAGAATATTTTTTAATTCTTTTGTAACATGTTATATAATCAACCTATCATAATTTACCTTTTCTCTTATCCCTCTCTGAATATCTACGACCAAGTGGTACAGTCATTATTATCTCTGCTTCATCATCCAGGTAAACTCTAATAAATGATTTTTTTTTTCCTTTTGATTTTACAATGAAGGTACGTCGATCTCTAACGTAATACTAAAAATCCACTAAAAGTTCATGAATTTCGTAAATATTTCACTTTCAATCTGTCTTGATATCTAATCACCAAACATTGAACCCCTTAACATTTGACAATCTCATCCACATCTTCCATCAGTTGGAATTTAAAGCATAATTTCTTCGACGGTGGAAATTTGGATAGCTTCAGATTTTAAGAGTAAATCAATTCTGAGATCACTAGCTGAATAATTTTGACTGGTTGGTGTTATATAACATGCGGTGTATAAAGAATTAGCACAGTTGGTGTAAGATTTTATATTATCAACTAATAAAATATTATTCTTATTATTTATTTTATATTCTTTTTTGCTTGACAGAAAAAAGTAGAGAAGAAAGTACTGTAAAAAAACAAAAATTTGTTGGATCATTCGGTTCATCCAATAAAGGAGAGGAACGCAAACAACCAAAAAATTACTTGCGTCCAAAACTAAAGGAAATAAGGTGTTGGAATTACAAAGGTAAATTGTCCATATACTTCTCTCTTTCTATTTCCGGTATGTAATACTTCCCACAAATGTTTATCTCTTTTATTTCTCCGTGTTTTCTCTTTCATTAAATCAATCAATACTCGTTGGTAAAAGGTGTTGGTTTTGGAAACCAATAGATAAATCACATGACATAACCTATAATGCATATGGCAAAACCCATATGATATGAGATTGAGAGGACGAGAACAAGAATCTTTGATGGGAAGGGGGGAGGAGGAATACACACGTTTACAATAATTTTTTTTTATTAAAATAAATAGCATAATAAAAGAAATATTATAATCATTATCATAGGAAAAATTATAAAATGTTATATTCTAATTTAAATATAAAATAATTATTTTATAAAAATTATTCTTCCAAATATTCTTCTTAGCTAAACACTGATTAGAGTATTTATGCTTCCAAATATTAGAGTTTTTCTTTTTATATTATCTTTTCAAAAATTGTAACTTTTTTTTCTCTTCATTTACACAATCTCATCTCATTCGTTTATCTTTTTCTTAAACCAAAGATCCTCTTAAGATAATTATTATTAAAATAAATAAACTTCTCATTATTCTAGTATCAATAATTTTATGGAGTTGAGACCACGTGGAGTTAAGAGCTGTCATTTACATGTCACGATGCTCAATATGCATGCAAAAATTCGGCGACGTACAACATATTCATTCACCAACCACAGTTTGTATTTGCCATGCAAACGTATTCCGATCCTCTAGAATTACATTCAATAAAATATTGAAATTTGTGTTTTTTAAATAAAAAATGCTTCGACCTCTCCCAAATGAAACCTCGAATCCTCCGAATCATTAAAAAATTAACAGCTGTCAATTAATTTTAATATAAATATTAATTTAATTTAAAATTTGTAAAAAAAAATTATCGGAGAATAATTCGGCTGTATCTTCGAAAGCCGAAGCATTACACCATTCAATATTCATATATTACTGTATGTTATTAAATAAATTCAGTGCATTGGGATTGTTGCTGTTCTTATTGTAACTGCAGAGGATAGAAATCCCAGGCAAACTCTTGTGGGTTTGTGGCTGACCTTTGTGTTGTTTGTTGTGACAGACAATGACAATAAATTAACGGTCAGTCATTGAGAGTCGAATTTAATTTTCTTATCCAAAGGAGGTTTCAGATTTTCTCTACAAAGTACATACAAAGTACAAACAACTGCATCAATCATCTATTTTGTAAAAATAAAAAATTAATTTAATTCTAATTTATAATGGTGGAATTTAGAACTGCATCGAACCTCCGAATAGCGGGACCAAAACCCGTTGCCTTACCGCTTGGCCACGCCCCACCCTGTAGCTATAGCGGACCCCATTTCTCCAAAAGGTGAAATCTTTCATAATTTTCTGTATAGCCACTTCTTACGAAATTTGAAGTAAAAAATGTTGTCTACCGTTGAGACATGCAACAACCAAATAACTTTCTTTTCTTTCGGCTAAAAGAGTTTAGGGGTTTCACAAACGTTAGAATATACTACTGTATCACAAAGACATCCCTGCAACAAGAAGCAGTGTCTTTTTCAGTTTTCGTAATCTCCATTTACCCATTCATGAAATTTTCAGAGAATCAAGATAAGGTGTAGTAAGTATGGAAGAGGGTCACAAAGCTGCAAGTTCGGCAGAATTCACAGAATGTTGGAATAGAGCAACTCGTTCACCATATATTATGCGTCTTGCTCTATGTGCTGGCATTGGAGGTCTCTTGTTTGGCTACGATACAGGTTATTGGCGCAACCATTTTAAATTTTATTCAACTTGTTTTAGCTATAACATCATATGAAATTGATTTTGTTTCTTTATTCACTACCAAATCATGTCTTATAGGTGTGATCTCTGGAGCCTTGTTGTACATCCGAGAGGACTTTGAAGAAGTTGATAAGAAAACATGGCTACAGGTGAATTGTACTCATTTGCATTTTAGATATTATTTCTTAATTCTTATTGGCTTTCCAAAAACACATTTAAGTCAAGAAGGAAGCTAATTTTACTTTCTAGTTCTAGATGGTTGACTTTGTTTTTTTTTTTTTTTGTAGGAAACAATTGTTAGTATGGCTGTTGCAGGAGCTATCATTGGTGCTGCATTTGGAGGATGGATGAATGATAAGCTAGGGCGAAAAAAGTCAATTTTAACATCTGATGTTGTATTCTTTCTTGGAGCAGTAGTTATGGCTGCTGCTCCAGCTCCCTGGGTCATAATTATTGGGAGAGTTTTAGTTGGTTTGGGAGTTGGTATGGCATCCATGACTGCACCATTATACATCTCAGAAGCTTCTCCTCATAGCATCAGAGGAGCTCTAGTATGTGTCAATAGTTTGCTTCTCACAGGAGGCCAGTTTCTATCCTACCTTATCAATTTGGCATTCACCAAGGTATGCAATAAACAAGTATCAGCTTAAATGAATTTTTGAGAGCTTATTTATTAAAATTATTTTTTTTCTTTGATTAAAAAACTTTCAATAACACTTCTATCTATATTCAAAATTACTCGAAGTCTAAAACTTTTTGATGACATCGTCAGATAGTTATCTTTTCTGAAAGATCAATTTCTTGTGTTTCAGACCCCAGGAACCTGGCGATGGATGCTTGGCGTGGCAGGACTTCCTGCTGCGGTTCAGTTCATACTAATGTTGTCCCTCCCCGAGTCACCCAGATGGCTCTACAGCCAGGTAATGCAAATCTTCCATCAATTGCGATTGAAATTTTTTGCATTCTATTTGTGAAATTGTTGGTATACCAACATGTTATTAGTCCGAGTAGTACCCGTGCTAATAAATTATATAGGTTTGATTGGATATTTAGAATTTTCATTGCGATTGTGTTTGAAGAATTGAAGTGAAAACGAAGTCTTTTATAGGACTTATTCGCTCCTTCATGTCTACATTGTGAATGATCACAACCAAAGGTTGAATAAAATATCTTGTAAACAGGTTTATCTGCATGTCATTGATGATGCGGTTTTATTCTTTTGCTTCATCTAATAATCTGTTTGGAGGCATTGGCATCCATCTGGTATTTCAGGGGAAGGAAGAAGAGGCAGAGAAAATCTTGTCGAAAATCTATCGCCCTGGCGAAGTTGAAGAGGAGATAAGAGCCATGCAAGAATCCGTTAAACTTGAGAAGGAAGACGAAGAGCAGAATGGACAGATGAGTTTTGCAAAGAAATTAAAGAGTGCTTTGACCAATGATGTAGTTCGAAGAGGTCTCTATGCTGGCGTCACTGTTCAAGTTGCTCAGCAGTTTGTGGGCATCAACACTCTCATGTATTACAGCCCAACCATTGTTCAATTTGCTGGAATTGCCTCTAACTCCACGGCGATTGCACTATCTCTGATCACATCTGGTTTAAATGCGGTTGGCACCATCTTGAGTATGATTTTCATTGATAGATATGGAAGGAGAAGATTGATGCTCATGTCTATGGTTGGTATCATTGTTTGCCTCGTGGTCACAAGTGTTATATTTTTCGAAGCAGCTAGTCATGCTCCTTCAATCAGTAACCGGGACACCCTCAATTTTGGTGTCAACTCTACATGCCATGCTTACACAAAAGCCCCTAATTTCTCTTCATGGAACTGCATGCAATGTTTGCATGCAGAGTGTGCTTTCTGTGCCAACAGCGACAATCATGTAAGCTCCTCCAGCTAATATTTTTAAGCACTCAATTGACGTACAACACACACAAATATGCCCTCACAGTCATACAAAAAGAAATTATTACATGGCATTACTTTCCATATATATAACACATAATTGAGTTTTATTAATTAAAAAACTCTTGTCTGTGTTTGTTATCCAGTTTCTTCCAGGAGCATGTTTGGGTGCAGAAAAGAGTATAAGAGGTGTGTGTCGTACAAAGCAACGAGTGTGGTTTTCTCAGGGTTGTCCAAGCAAAATTGGACTTGTAGCTGTTATAGTGTTGGGACTGTATATCTTATCATACGCTCCAGGAATGGGAACCGTGCCTTGGGTTCTGAACTCAGAGATATACCCATTGAAATTCAGAGGGATAGGTGGAGGTATAGCTGCAGTTTCCAACTGGTGTGCTAATCTCATTGTGAGTGAGTCATTCTTAAGCATGACAAAGACTTTAGGCGCGGCTGGCACATTCCTCCTCTTTGCCGGATTCTCAGTAGTTGCACTCATTGCCATTTATGCATTAGTGCCTGAAACCAAAGGCCTTCAGTTCGAGCAAGTTGAAAAGTTGCTTCAACAAGGCTTCAGACCTTTCCCATTTAACAACAACAAGAAACAAGAGGAAAAATAATATCAAGGTCAAGAATAGCATTAATGCTATAATTACTTTCTTTTCTTTAAGAATAACTTATTGGATTTCTTCTTTTTCTATTGCAATTAATAAATGAAATTACATTTATTGTTCTCGATCATCGCAACATTTATTGTATGTGTGCATGTGAACGTTTTAAAAGTGAAATAACCATTTTAAAAGAAATACAACAATGTATCTGTCGGCACAATTAAAATAAATAAATAAAACTTAATATGCTAAATAACTACCAAACAAAATAAAATCAACACAAATAAATTAATAAATAAAGTTGATATAGATTATAACGGTAAAAAAAATGATATGGATCATATTTTTAAAAAATGGGATAAAATAGAAGCGCTACAACCCATAATTATCCTCTAAATAATTAAAAAATAAAAGTAATAAATTGAATCATTATAATGACTCTTTAAAAATTAAAAATTATGGTGGCTATAATCCATAATGATTCCTTAAGAATTAAAAAAAAAAAAAAGCATTGTTATATAAACTATAACGCCTCTTCATAAAATAACTAATCGCTTTTATGTCACTAACTGTTATAGTAACTAATAGTATGTTGGTATCGACTATATAAGTCTTTTTCATGGCTTAAAAAAAAATCCATGTGGTGCGAATAATTTCAAAATAGTCATATTTATGTAAATAATTTTAAAAACTAGACCCCAAGAGTGAATAAGCCTTCCGATTGTCACAAGGGAGTTGTTGGATAGTGTATCTCCTTTCAATTAATAGATATTTAAGAGAATCTGACACCATTTCTTTAGTCTCATATCCTCCAATGAATGTTAAGTTTAATTTGTCTTATCATTCTTTATACTTTGACCTGGGGTGAGCATTAAACCGACATCCGAACCGAACTCGAAAAACTCGAAAAAAAATATTGCTTTTAGGTGGGTTCGGGCGGGTTTTATGGGTAAATTGGGTTAAAATTTTGATTTTATACGGGTTATATTGAGCGGGTTCGGTTTTGAATTTTTAAATCCGCTAAAAACCGAACCCAACCAAAAATGAGATAAGTTTAAATTTTTATTACTTTTGTATAACTAAACAACAATGGTCCAAATTTAAAAGTCTTTATTTCAAGTATAATATAGCCATCAATTTGAAACTTATTTTTTTCTTTTTTCTCATAACTTAGATATTTATTTTGTCTTCTCCTTCCTCATTCAACTTCTCAACACACTAGTCCATTTTTAGAGTTATCTTTTTTTGCTTCTTTCTTTGTCTTTCTTTTCCATCTTCTTATCTCCATTTTGAGTATATTTTATGTGACTGTGATTTTTGCTTCTTTTCCATGTAACAACTATGAATTTTGTTATCTTTTATTTTTGCTTCTTTAGTTTGTAAATGTTTCAACTACGAATCTATTTACACCATCTATTGTCACCTTCATTCTATACACTATTTTAAAAATATTTTTTATCGTTTTAAGCTTCATCTAGATAAATTGGTCTACAAAAAAATTCAAACCCGATTATACTCACCCGCTTAAATCCGAATCCGTTTCAACCCGAATCGCCTCAAATCGAAAGCTCAGTCAGTCGGATATGGGTCACATTTTTTCAAAGTCAGTTTACAACGGATTGGACATTTTTCACCCAAACCCGACCAAACCCACCCGTTGCTAACCCCTACTTTTGACCAAGTTCAATTAGCTCTTCCTTCGTGACCGAACAAATAAACCCTACCAGAGCTCTTCGGTTTTTCTAAATCCATTCTTTAGCCATTTCTTTTTTCTTTGCACTAATTAATGCGATTTTTTAATTATTGTATTTTAATGTTATAGTCTTTTTATTTAAAATAAAAAGAATAAAATATCTTTAGTTTAATCCGAAAGTACCCTTCATGGAGTTTTCCTTTCCAGTGTTAAAAAAAGAAAAGAAAAAAGTGTCCATTATGGACACATAAAACCAACATAAAAAGATTATTAATTTTTTTTAGAAAAGGATACATAAAAACAATATAAAAAAACTACCAAGTTTTTTTTTCTTCATAAAGATGTTCTTCAACCAATCAATACAATGCACGTTGATTAATTAAATAAATAAAAAACTGGTACCCAAAAAAAAATAACAAAAAAATCAATTCTTTATTGTATAAGATCAATTTTCGATTCTTATATATAAAATCGATCCGATCCACGTTTAACAAGCATTCTACCTAATTTTTAAAGAATTTTTTTTTTTTCATTTTCGTCCTTATTACTTTACCTTTGTGCTTAAATATATTTTTAAGCTCTTAAACTTATGATAAATTTTTTTTTCATAAATTTAAAATTGTTGTTTTTAATTTTTATAATTTTTGAAAATCTTATTTTAGTTTTCCAAACCATCAATAATATATTTAAGGGAGTTTCTACGGTACCCTCAAAAATCGAAAGATTTTAATATATTTTTTTTATGTAAGCTCATAAAAAATTTAAAAAATTTAATTTAATTATAAAATAAATAATCTAAATTATACTTATAAAATAAAAAGTAAGATAAAATTATAATTTAATTATAAAATAAATAATCTAAATTATACTTATAAAATAAAAAGTAAAATAAAATTATAGAAATTAAAATTATAAGTTTTCAATAATATTATAAAATATTAAAGAAAAAGAAAAAAATTAATAAATAGTAGAAATAAAAAGTTATTAAAATTATAATATAGAAATTCAAAAATTTAAGACAAAAAGACAAAAAATATACTTAAAAAGTTATTAAAATTAAAATATAGAAATTCAAAAATTTTAAGTGAAAAGATAAAAATATACTTAAAAAATTATTAAAATTAAACTATTTAAATATATAATAATATTATTACAAATAAATTAGAATATATAAAATAAAAATAAAATGACTAAATAATTTAAAAATTGAAAGAATAAAATATCATAAATATTATTTAAATAAATTATTAAAAATATAAAATATAAAAGACTGTACCGGTACCCTCTCAAATAAGATGGGTACCATAAATTTTTTCTATATTTAAAAGTGACAAATTGAAGCAATTATACACCTATCAGTTAGATTTAATGTGATGATTTTATTAGCAGACACAAGTAATGAAATTTATGTGACGATATTGAACAAATTCCCTAATAAAATTTGAGTATAAAGATTAAATAATTTTTTAAAATTACAGGGATTAAAAATACAACTTTAAGTTTAAGAAATTAAAAATAAATTTACTTTAAATTTAAAAAACTAAAAATATATTTAATTTTTTTGTTGAATTGCCTAGTCTTTTTTTTAGGATAAAAATTTCCAAGCCTTTTACTCCGTTTCGTATGTTTTCCAAAAAGATGTAGAATTATCTTTGAAAACTTTTTTATTTTAAATTAGTTTATTACATGAGTTGATCATCTTATGATCGTTTTAAAACAAAATTTCATTTCGATTATTAATCTACTAAAAATATGTTATGTGGATAACATAATCATCATGGTATTTTATTTTTAAATATTATACAATAAAAATAGAACAAAATCTAAACCGTTGATAGTTACCCTCTTTCTTAACCAGTGGATGTAAAAAGGCAGTGGTTTAAAAATTGAGTAGAAAAATGGTTAATCGCAACAGTCTAGTACGGAAAAAATGAGAATTCAACAACTAGCTTTTGCAGGTTTCTGCATTTCCCTCACTAAGCAGCTTCACCTTAGAATGCAAGCAATGTGTACAAAACCCATTTTATTTGCCGTGTTAATAAAAAATAATTCTCTCATTTAATTGTCATTTATAATATATCAATTAAATTATTTTTTACATTAAAATATTAAATATTTTTTTATTATATCATTCAACATATATTGTCAAATGAAATAGTATTAATATAAACATAAAAAAAGAACTCAGTTTCTCTAAAAAAAAGAATTTAATTAATATTAAAATATATAATAAAAAATAATATTTATAATATTTAAACACTAATTATATTTTTTAATTCTTACGTCAAAATCTTCTACGTCACATAAGATGAGATAGTGAATAAAAAAACATAAAGCCAGATAGAAAAAGTATCTTCCAAGGCCCAACTTTATTGAATTTATCAGATTCGTGCTTTACTCGTTTCAGAAAATTGCTATAGGAAAAGTTTTATAGTTCTACATTGATATATATATATATAAACTTAAGATTTCATGTTACATCTGATATGTTATATGTATATGTTCCATGAGTATCACCACCACCTTGTTCCTTGTACATTATTCTCAATGGTATATACACAAAGTACTTTATAGTTTTCCCAAACCTCCGAACTGCCTATCTCTTATAATATTGGACAAAACTTGCATTCCAAAAGAATAACGAACCACATGCATAATGTTGCTGGCTTACCCGCTTATGTCAATCTTACCAAGAATGGATATTATTTTTTTTTATCAACTTCATTCCAGCCTATAACATAACATGCCTTAGAAAGAAAAGATACAACATGTGCCTTTTAGGATTTGCCGATAAGCAAGAAAGGTATAAAAAATTCCACCGTAATTACATATCAGTTTTTGAAAGGAAAGGTACAATATGTACTTTTTGGGATTTGCCAGTAAGCAAGCAAGAATTCAAGAGTTCCAAGTTACATGAAATTACGTGAAAGTCACTCGAAAGTTATGTCCCGGTTGGTGGTGCTAATATGACTCCGAGGTATTCAGTGGAAACAGATGAAAGGTGATTTAACGCCCTATGGCCTATTCAATACATTTAGCAGTATCAAACTTACCAAACAAAAGCTCCATGTTCACCAAAAAAAAAAAAAAAATTATGAACACAAACATATTCCAAGTGGTAGTGTATTTCACTACAAGGGAGGCAAAATCACAAAAATACTTGGCTAACCCTTCTCAGAAAAACTGTATGTTTTCAGAACAATACGAAAAGATTAAGAACTTGAACAACGACATAACTTCTGGAAACATAACAAATTGAACAAGGGGAAACAAAATCACCAAACCTAGCTTAAATCGTCTAAGGGTCAACCTACCGCTAGCTAGGTTCTATTTAAAATTTTTCACACAGTACAAAGTTACAAACCCAAAAAACACTATATGTACAACATCCAATATTTACATTATATATAATTACCTTCCAAAGGGTTAATTACTTCTCTAAGGACTTGAACAGGACGCTTCATGTCTTGATTCTCTCAAATATCCAAGGAGGGTCTCAGCCTGCAAAACCAATCAGACTTCAATAATGTGGCACGAGAAAAAGATTAGAGTGTCTGAGGGCAAAAACAGCAGGGAATGCAGGGGGTAAGGGTTCGTATTTTGATGTAAATCATCATATTTTGATAAAATTGATTTTAAAAGTTGGGTAATTAATTTATTTAAAAAGTGAAATGCAAGAGTGGAAAGATGGCAATCAAGTGTATGGTAGGTATGGAGTGAAAGCAGTAATAGAAGAAGAGACCTTGTGCTTAGCAGGAAGAGAGGCATTCTGCGAAAGAGCGACGAGAGGAGGAATGGCACCCTCTCTGACAAGCAAGGCTGGATTGGGAAGAGAGTGAGCAGAGAGGTGAACAAGAGTGAAAACAGCGAACTCCTTGGCCTTGACGGAGCCATCCTCAATGGCTTCCACGAGGGCAGGAATCCCAGCTTCCTGAACAATGGCCTCCCTCCCCGCCTGAATGCCCGCCAAGCTATTAAGGACCACCATGGCCTTCTCCGCCATCCCGCTCCCATGCTCGCCCACCAGCTCCACCAGCGCCCTCACCGCCCTCTCCTTGTTCCGCCTCACCGAACACACCTTATACAGATAGTCTCGGCGGAGAGAAGGGAAGGGTGGAGGTCGAGGTCGACGTGAGCAGCAGGTTCCGATCTGGCCAACCTCTGGAGCTCACCCGAAATATCGCTACTGCATGCCGAATAATCGCTTAACGCTTCAGCCAGCTCCTCCGTAATTGTAGGGACTTGGTGTTTGGCGTTAGGGTGTCGGAGACGCAGGTGTGGTGTTGCAAGAGTTTGGAGCGCACGGTTCGCATGGACCTCCACATGTGTCGCCGAGTTTGGCTAGAATCGGACCGCAGAAACCATTTTGGAGGGAGAGGGATATTTTATCATTTCATAGTTGATACTTGATAGTAGCAGAGTGCAGAGTAGAGTGAGGTTGAACAGCAAGAGGGTGCATTAATGAATTATAGAAGCCAATTATTTATTATTTATCTTTACATAAATTAATAGTTAAAATCTTATTTTGTTGGCTTATAATAATTATTTGTTTCAAATTAGTCTTATTTTTATTTTTTGTTTTAATTTGGTCTTAAATAAATTAATTGGTTTCAATTTGATCTCAAATAAATTAATTGGTTTCAATTTGGGACTTCCGTCCAAATTATTTAAACAGAGTTAACTTTTGTCCACATAGATGCATATGTGGATACCACGTGGACGCCAAATTTTGTGAAAATATCTGGAATCAGAACGGGCCGTTCTGGATGCACTCTTGGTGTGTTAATTTTGCACTTGAAACGGGCCGTTCCAGATGCAAAACTAACACACCACCGGTACATCAAAACGGGCCGTTCTGGGCCCGTTCCAAAACTGAAAATAAAATATTCTTTATTAATTTTATTAAAAAATATAATAATTTTAAAAAATATTTTTTTATGGTAAAAATTTTAAAATTACTTATTTTTATAAAATACAATTATCTTATAAATAGAGTAATAACTTTTTCTTTTTCTCTTTCTGTCTGAATTAATATTTAAGTGTCACTTTATAATTTTTTGCAACTTATTTAAAATTAAAGAAATAAAATGATAAAAATTAATAGGATACATTGGTAGTAAGTGGTTCACTCCAGTTTGAAATGAAATAAAATCTGTTACCATTGTCTTTAGTAATACATTGCATTGTCCTTAATAATACACTGTATAGCCTAACTGTTTAGTAATTGAAGTTATTAATTTTCATTGACAATATTACCAAATTCAGTGTTTGAAATACTTTGTACCTTGGGTCTTTTTCCTTCCATGATTCACAACCGTAAACTATAATCATTGATCCTTTATGTTTAGCAGTGTGGAAGCAGAACGACCCGTTCTGAAACCAGAACGGCCCGTTCTGAAACCAGAACAGCCCGTTCTGCTTGTACTTTTAGTGTGTTATATTTGCATCTGGAACGGGACATTCCGGATGTAAATTTAACACACCAAAAGTGAAACCAGAACGGGCCGTTCTGGTTTTAGAACGGGCTGTTCTGGGTCCAGGTGTTTTAAAAAAAATTGTCATCCACGTGGCATCCACCTATGCATCTACGTGGCATCCACATGACCAATAGTTAACTCCGTTTAAATAATTTGGACGGAAGTCCCAAATTGAAACTAATTAATTTATTTGGGACCAAATTGAAACCAATTAATTTATTTGGGACTGTACCCTCCAAATTCCCAATTGACCGAATTAACCGAGTAAAGACTCTTTGCACTTTTAACAATTAAGCATGGAGGGTCATGTATCTTCCAACTCCCCATCCGACCGAGCAGGTCGAATTCAAGATCACTCACGGATTTTCTAAGACTGATTAAGGCAGTAATTTTCATGATTCTCGCACATATTTGATTACGGTTATAAATGTGATTTATAGGCTCATTATGAGAAATAAAATGAAGGCTTATTTCAAGGGATTGGGATTGGAGAAAAAGATTTGTATCCTTAAATATGACACCCATATATATAAAGGAAGAATGGTTTTACTAATAATAGGTTACACTCATCAAATGTTCTAGGTTAGGACGACGGCTAGGTTCTCTTAGAGCTCATATCATTAGGATTTTTCCGACCGTTATCCTTTGACTGGAACAGGGACCAAATTGAAACCAAAAATAAAAGTAAGATTAAATTGAAACAAACAATTATTATAAGAGATCAAAATAGGTTTTTAGCCAAATTAAATAAAAGGCTCGTTTTTGTTGTACGTGTTTGCTTCAGATTTGACTTTGAGTGTGATCTGACCACACCACACAATTCAACTGCGCTTTACCCTACCCTATCCCTCCCTACACCAACCCCACCCATTTCTATTCTTATTTTTTTATTTATTTTACAAAGTCAAAATCCGATCACGCACCTCCAAAATCACCCTTCCACTATGCTTTACTACCTTTTTCACCTAATCAACATTACTTTTTAACTCTAATCAACTTAATTCATTCATCTATAATTTTTAATAAATATAAGCCTCACACTCATTGTAACGACCCGGCTGGTCACTACACGCACAACACAGCACACCGGAAACACCAGGCAGAAGAGAACGAGTATATAAATATAGGATCTAGAATATATATATATATATACAAGGTCCCCAATCCGACTAGAGTTAGAGTGTACAAAACTCAATGCATCCATCAATTGCTAACCAAGTAGCTAAATACATCAACAAAAATAAACTTCATCTGCCAGCTACTGACTCTCCTCAGCAGCACCAACCTAACCCTGCTCTGCTCCCATACATAGTATGATCATTGCAGTCCAAACATCATGGAGACAACAAAGGGTAAGCTAGTGTAAAGAAATCGACATACATACATAAATATGAAAATAAAAGCATCTACAGCTATCAGCACACCCGTACAGCTTATACTACACCACAGCAAATTCAGCAATATCAGCACCGCTCAGCGGCTATAACAGCACCACAATAGTGGCTAACAGCACCGACATAGCGGCTATAACAACACCACAATAGTGGCTAAACACAACATACAGCTCAGCAATAAACAGCACAACAAAACAGCTCACAGCACAGCACAGCAAAATCAGCATACAGCACAGCTAAGTAGTATTCAACACAGCTTACTACTCACAACTCAGCTCATCATTCTAGAGCACAGCCATATTATAAATCAGCATTTAAAATCATCAATAACAGTCCAGCTCAGCACAGCGAAATACATCTATTACAGCTTTAACATCATTTTTCAGCATTTACATCTAGTCAGCACAACATATTTATCAATTACATCTCAACTCAGCAATTACAGCATAATTCAACAACTATCAGCATATGATTCAGCTCGACTCAAACAATAAAGTTCAGCATTAGCATCACACAGCACAACTCAGCATTACATCATTAACAACATACAACATAACACAACTTTTCATCACACGACATTGGCATCATTAATCAGCATAAACAACATTCAGCATAAAACAATATTATCATCAAATTCAGCATATAACTTCACATCCTCATACGCGCCCGACGCACTCATGGTTGCGCCCGGCGTGGCACAACCAAAGGGATCCAGGGGCCAACGCGCCCAGCACAAGCGTGCCTGCGCCCGGCGAGACTTAGCCAGAGACTCCAAAACTCTCTCGCGCCTGGCGCAATACCCAATTGCGCCCAGCTCAGGCCTGGTAGAGACTCCAAGGAGTCCCACATGCCCGACGTGCCCCAACCCGCGCCCAGCACAGGTAAGGCAAAGACCTCCCTTGGTCTCGCGCCCAGCGCAAACCAAATTGCGCCCAGCGCCCTCGAGGCAGAGACTCCCAAGGAGTCTCACGCCCAGCGCGACAAGGGCCGCGCTCAGCGCAGCACATCAATATTATCGCTCAGCTCAACAACATTCATTATTAACAGCTTAAAACAGCATGATCAACACATAATACGACCCAACCATCTTGTTTACAACTCATCTATCTTGTCAACTTACTCACCCACACAACACCAATCAGCCTAAGCACCTATAACAACTTTCAACTTAACCAAATCACTAAATGTGAAATGGCAACCATCACAGAAAACAGCGCATCAGGAGTTATACTACTCCTACCATGATCATCCTTATCTCATAAGAAAGATAAGAATATTTCCTACAACTCTCATGAAGACACCAAGACCTAATTCCTTCATCTACCTTGTTAAAAATGATAAAAATCGCAACAACTATAAACAAAGCTAGCAGCTCGACCCCTCTTCACTAAAACAGCCATATCTAGAGTTCTAAAACTCCTTTTTGGGTGATTCCAGCGCCATTGGAAAACTAACATCCAAGGCTACAACTTTCATGAAGACTATAAAGTCAAATTTTGAAAATCAAATTCACGCCCGGCGCATTAAAATCGAGCCCGGCGCAATTCTCAACCAGAGACCTACAGAGGTCTATTGAGCCCGGCGTGGTTCTCCCCACGCCCGGTGCGATTCACCTAGGGATTTCCCATTTCAAATCACGCCTAGCGCGAAGAACTGCGCCCGGCTCAAATTCAAACAGGAACCCTTATCTACTTCGAAAATTTCATCAAACCTGCACAAATCAAGTCATCCAAACACATGCAATCGGTTCAAAACTCCACCCTTTCATCCAACAGCTCAAAAATCCCAGCATTTTACACATGCAACATCAAACAAAGAAAATCCCCAAATTTTCATCAAAACCCCGAAACCCCGGAAAAATCCAGTTTCATCAATCTCAGCCATCAATCTGCAACAATCAGCCATCATGTGAGTTTCTAGCTCACTCCCAACAATCAATCACAACCAAAACTAACTTCCTTTACCTCGATGCGAGAATCCGAGCTCCGAGAAGACTAAGAAGCTTGAACGAAGAGGAGAACAAAAGAGAAGATAAGGAGAAGGAATCTGTCTTCCGGCTAGCTTCACAAGGCTTGCGTTTGAGAAGTTCAACCTCTAGGTAACCACCTCTTCAGCTAGAGAGCATGAAATTTGAGAGAATAAAGAAAAGAGATAATAGAAACATAAGGAGTAGAAGTGAAAGTGAGGGAGAGAAAAGGGAACGAAAAAGGAAATAGGGGTCTCACACTCATACCCTAATTTAATATACATACACTTTTTAAATTATTTTATTCTTATAACAATTTATAAAAAAATTAGGAGTCAATAAATGATGGATTAGTATTAAGTTCAGTAAGTTTTGAAATGTACTCCGACTCAACAAAAGAATGCAGAAATATTAAATTGGATAATGTTGTGTCTTATAGCTAACAGATTTTACTTGGATGGGTTAGGTGGTGGTTGGAATTTATTTTTATAGGAAAGTAGTTGGTAGTTTTCTAGAAATATTTTATAAAATGTCAAAAGAAAATAAATAAAGAAAACGATACAGAACTGTTTTTGCACTATGTACTATGTAGTTGATCAAGCTA